GCACGGAATTGTCTCGAATATTCTTACTAATTGCGTATTGAATGCAACTCGATGAAATTAATTAAATAAATATGTCAGCGGCTATAGCGCAATTACTCCACTTCCTCCCGTAATTTTTCAAATATTTATACATTTCTGCGAAAATTTTATGAAACGTAAGGCTTTTTCAGCAGCCACCCGTTCGTAAGTAATTGCTGATCAAGAATTTAACGAAAAATAGAATGAAAATTTCGTTACAGATTCTGGAAAACGGGACCTGTGTAATGAAGCTGTTAACAATTCTGACAATTAAACGTAGAAGCTTAATTAAGATATAAATATAATTAAAATATGGCTCCGTGCGCTTTCTGATGAGATAGGAAAGAAAGAGGAAGCAACTTATAAAATTTAATTCTATTGCAGACTTCTGCCTTGAGTACTGTGCTTTTCTCATTAATAAAACTCCTAAATGTTTGATCTAATTGTATTACAAAGCTCAAAACATCGTTGCTATTGAATTAATTAAACTTAAAAATTAGAATTCGAAAAAAATAAGTGACAAAATCCATCTATTACCTATATTATGTAAAGGAGCGTGTTCAAAATTCTACTTTTGAGAATTATTCTGGCAACACGAAATGTATAAATGATATTTCATTTCGATGATTAATCTGTTATTTTCTTGTTACTAATTGATATTTCACCGAACGCGACTGGTGACATGAATAAACGTCAGTATTCCAGCAGTGGTATCTGTATACGTAAACGTGACTTTAGTTTACCGGTTGCTGCTACTTGCTACTAAATTGGTTATAATGTATTGGCTCTAATTTGAATTTCCATCTCGATCTTTCCTAATGCGTGTGATGCGAACGAGCACTTATTTATTACCTCTACCAAACTGTAATGTAGTGCTCCTTTCAAAAAAAGTGGGCGTAAGCGTTGGCTACTCACTTAAAAACGTGCTCCTATTGTTACACTAACAAAACAAACGGCTTGCGTTAGTATTAAAATGCTTAGAATACAATTAGATGGATGACTTCCTAATCTAATGATTTATGAGATATTCACTTTAGAAGATTTCATAGTCCCATTAGAAGAGCTTTTATCTATTGTATTGAGCTGTAAGTTTTGTTCCGTTAGCTTTTGGACAAAGTATATCATAATACAATTAGAAACGCGGCAAACTGCATTTTACAATCTTTTCAATAATCATATTTTTGCGGTACCGTCCTTTATAACGCAAAAAATCGTTAGTCATTCCGTATTTGAGCAACAGGAGATCAGGTACAGTTGTTAGATGCTTCAGGAGATTACAGGTAGAACAATTAAGATTCTTTCAAGCATATAGATTTACAAAAAAGTTCTGGGTTTATATTTACGATCGTTTTAAAAACGGTACGTCTAGACTTTTGCGACAAAAAGCTACACGGTGATGGTTGGAAATGTAAATCTCGTCTTTTGTATTCAATTTTTTTGTAATAAACAAACGATGACCTTTGTATAAAATTTAGATAGGAATGGATTGGTGACGTTCCTCCAAACTGAATGTTGCGTGACGGAATCAAGATCGCGATTTTTTATTAATTAACGGCAGGTATCTTATACTGTTAACATTTATAAATTTATCTATTAGTGTGGGCGCTGTTTAGATTTTTTAATTAACTAATCCGATTATAATTAATGTCTGTCAATCCACACGTGCGCAAGTTTTTTATTAGGAACTTTGTATTGCCATTAGCATTATAATTAATGTGTTTTTTGTATTTTATTAAATAAAACACGGAATGTTTTCAGATTTTAAAGTAAAACCAAAATCAATTTATATTCCTCTCGTCACCTCTTAAGGATAATTAATGGAAGAGCTTTACTGAAAGAACAGACGTGCCGTATACAGGGTACGCAAAAAGTCCCGGTACGGTCAATCATCTCGCGTTGTCTGCAAATCAATGTCTTTCAAACGTATATACTGTAAAGAATTTGTTGACTGCTATTTCAATTTTTGATTACGTGCGGTTATTAAAAGGAACATCCTTTATTTTTTAATACGCAACTCAATATACTGAGTGAAAATTTTGTCTGAAACACTGGAAATATGTTCAATACAACATTTATTAACGAAGCTTTTTATGGTGTCCAGAATTATAAAAAATTTGCGTATTTTACATTTGTTGTCAGTGACGTGCTTGCATTGTTAAGGGGGGCATATTTCTTGTAACGGCAACTACTGATTTTCATCACATATTTTTAAAGAGGACGTACACTTTTTTGAATATAGCACCATAAAACACTTATTGTATTAAATAGTCAATTTAGTAGAATAAATAGAAAAACTCAAATTAAGGAAAATAGTTGTGTTAATTTTATAATTTTACTAGTTTGAGCATGTTTTTTATGTTGTATAGCGTTTAAGCGTATAGATTTACACTCGGATTTACATATAAATTTTTAATAATTTCTGATACAATACATTTTGATAATGTCTCTAGAGAACTGTATGTAGAATTTCACGATTATTTTTGAACATTTTAATTGTAAAGTAAATTGAAAAATACTCATTCTACGGGGGGTTTGTGATGGAAACATTAAGAAATATTACAAATTCAATTTTCTTAGTTATGAGTGCACGCAATTAAAAAATTGTATATTGCTGAATAGAAATTTAAATTCCCTTAAAAAAAAGTGTCACATGACCCCCCTCCCACCGCCGCCCTTCTTTATTTAAATTTTCAAGGCGATTTTTATAATTCGAAGGGGGTTCTAGAGAGGTATAACATTGTTGTACTATAAATGGTCAAATAAGCCAAGAGCTGAATTTCCAGCTACCCCCACTTGACATTATAATGTGCATCCTCGTCTAGCAAAACATAATTTAAATGAAAAAATCGACACTACATAACGAAATTTTCACCAAATTAAAACAAAACATCAAAAATAGTAAATTAATTTTACACTTTTGACGTATTGCATGTTTAAAAATTTATACAGTGAGCGGCTAAAATATGGAACAAATTCATTTTAAATAAATTTTTTCATCAAAGAAAAAATTATCAGGATGCGTCAAAAAGTAGAATCGAAAGTTGATTTTCTAAAATGAAACAGTATTTTCGAATTTGATACAGAACGGATTTTAAAAAATACCGCTCCATTTAAACAAATCAACTTTAGTATCAAAATCGACTTTTTGACGCACCCAGTAGATATATTTTCTCTTTGGTGCAAAAAATGCCCAAGAAAAGTAGGATAGACGTGTGCGAGCATTTTTTTAACCCACCACCTGATTTTTAATTGAATTTAGTTCCATATTATAGCCGCTCACTGTATATTCCTCAAAATTACTCTAGAACCACTTAGAGAAAGATGAGTTTATCTATAGTCCAGTCAAATTAGCGCAATTTTGGACAAATAAAAACATTAATTGGTAAAGATCTGAATTTTGGTATACACATTTATTGGGACTTTCTATTGAACATACTAAAAGTCCCTGTCAAAATCTGTTGCGCTCGAGACGCCATCTTGGAAAAACGGTACGCTTTTCCAGTTTTTTGCCCATGTCTCGGAAATTATTACTGACACGAAGAAATAGTTTACATGAAAAATATAGTTTACTAAATTCCCTATAAAAAAGAGTATTTACATTTTTTTTGTATCTCCAGTACTTTAGCTGTAATCTCACGTTGAATACGTCAGAACGCGTTTAGACCCCGTATCGTAGTTATAGAAGGAGGCCGTCTTTTTTATGACTACACCGATAGCTGTAACAGAGCCAAAAAATGAACAGAATCGTCGTGCGATAAAGCATTCTAGCAATGACATAATGTTTGATGATACATCATGTTTTTTTCAAAAAGGTAAGCGAAAATGTGTAAAACAGTAAAAGTGTTGGAGCAACGAAATGAGTTCTGAAGCTGAAGAATGCCTTTATAACGTGCCTGATAGTGAGAGATATTAAAACCGACATCGTTATCAGACCTTCAGAATTACCTTGACCCTGTTCGGACACTGAAGGCTCCCAGTCCACACTCAGTGCTCACATTGAAGATGAAAGTTCTATTGAGAGAGCGTTTTATGAGAAACCTTATTAAACGTGTCTCATACCAAGCTTGAGTGCGACGACTTCGCATATATTAGAAATACTGGTAGAATTTTCCATGAATTTAATGATTTGTAAAAAGTTGTAAAAAAATATCTGCGCCACTGTTTCGAGAACTCAGGATACTTGATTCCCTATTCGATGTCGGATTATAGCTAAAGTATTGGACATACAAAAAAATGTTGATATGCTTTTTTATGGGCAATTTAATAAACTATATTTTTTATCTGAACTATTTTTCCGTATCAATAATTGTTGCCGATATATAGGCAAGAAACTGAAGAAGTGCTCCTTTTTTCCAGGATGGCGCCTCGAGCGCAACAGATTTTGACGGGGACTTTTAGTATGTCCAATAGGGAACACTAATGAACATGTGTACCAAAATTCAGATCTTTACCGATTAATGTTTTTATTTTTTCTTATTTGACTGGACTACTACGGGAAATCTGTATTAAGGCGTTTAGTTATGTATGATTTACAAAGGACATTATAGTCTAATTCTAAAATATGAAATATTCTACGGTCTTATTTGTTTGATAAACATACTGTGACATTACAGAACAACAATAGCGTATAAATTGAAGTATTGGAGTTGTACGTAAACGCAATTTGAAACCAATTTAAGCGAAACTAAATCAAACTATGAAGTTTAAGTGAACCTACAAATTAAAGAAAGGCGTAAGTAGCAGATGTCGCCGTAAAACTTTCTTAATATTTTTACTTCATTAATCTAACTTCTCTAATCCATGTTATTTTACAATTTATTTCACTGTCCAAAAGGTATGAAAAATTACGATCGAAATGATTAATGTGACTTACGTAGTCACTTCTGGTTCTAACTACCTTTGTACCATATTAAAACGTATATAAGTTTTGGACGGTAATTGGGTTTGAATAATGACTATTGCTAAGACGATTGATTACTTACCTGCAGGCAAATTCTGTCTCTCCAAGACATAGTTCCAGGCATTCCTGACGGGAATTTACAACTTGCTGACTTTTAGAATAACCCACCAGACGGTAATTTTGTACGCGATCTATGCACCACGCTCTTTCGCACGGTTTCACTCCAAGACACGATTTTTGTGCGTAGATCGTGAAGACGGGAAACTGAGATTTCGTTAACGCACCTGAAAGTAAAACCAATAATTAGACATGCGAATTGTGTTCAGGACTTGTAACCAATGAAAGTAAAAGCGCATTGTTTATAATCTATGACAAATTGCACGTTTGATTGAACAAAACTGCAAGATTGTAATTATACGTCAGTTATATCCCAAAGAATCAATATTGAGCATGTGATGCAATATCAACTTCAGTCAAGTGTATAGCTACTACCTTTCATAATGCGGATAGAAGCAATTACTTTTTATTTTAAAAATTCTTCCAGAAGTAATCAACTCTTACAAGATATCCTTCAATTTCATTTCTTTAAAAATCCAGTCGAGATATTACAAAGGGAATTTAAGTAGGAGGTAAATGAAAAGATTGTTGATTTTATTGCTTGGAAAGTCTACGAGATGTTGCTTAATAATTTTCGTTAGGCGCGGCAAAGTCAAGTGTAATACAATAATTATGGAAATCTTACACATTTCCTTTTGATCTTGTATAAATTTACCGTTTTTCGTTTTTTAAATGTTTACTACGCCATTACTTATAGACAAATTACTTTGTGACTTCGCGAAGTAGCCCACGGCATGTTTCTTTAATGTAGCTCTATATTGATGGAGATGAAAATGAATTATCGAATTGCGTTAGTGTGTAATATTTCTTGCTACCGGCCAGTTCTGTCAAATTTGGGCGAGTTGATGTAATCGGTCACTGTCTATTTAATGATCATATTGTCACTTAAGATTTTACCGTAAAATATACAGGAACTTAACTTGAATAACAGCCTCCGATTTATTACATTTTCAGAGTTAAGTATTTTACCCCGCACCTGTCATCTGAAGAGCTCTACTTGGTCCACCAAATTTAATAAGTGAAATCAGAGGTCTCAACCTCTGCGATCTCGCTAATCGTACGTACCTACAGATAAAATTACGGTTTCACGTTTGATCTCAAAACCAATTTTTAAAAAAATTCAAGGGGCTGTAACTTTTGATCTAGTGGCCCAATCTAAACTGTTGGAATATGGATTCTACAGGCCAAAATCTATAAGAAAATGTTTTTTTCCCAGCCGATTTCAGACAATTCATTTTTTCGACCCAAAATATAGGCAAGTGTATAGCCTTTGCATTTGACCGAAAATCGACTACCATATGTATCAGTATCAGTAGTCCCACCCAATTATGTAATAAATCCATATTAAACCCCACCCACACAGGCAATGCAATGTAATCAAAATCAACAATTATCTGGCTGGAAAATCACAGATAAAGGGCAATACTCAAACCTGTTCAAACTTACAGAAACAAACTAAGAATATGATTCAGACACAGATCCCACGAATAAAGAGGAAAACAGGAAAGTCAACGGAACATGAGTGGTAAACAGTAAAAAAAAATTCTGGCTTACTCCTTTTACTTTTACGTCCTGAGTGGAAATGACATTTTGGATGTCTCAACATTACGCAAGGAAAATTCATTGTGGAAATTCCTCCGCCATTTTATCAATTCAAGAATACCACGTGATGGAGGTTTCTGCATTACCGGCTTGAAAAATTATACCAACATTACCTGTGACATATTCACATGGGAATTTGTTTATGTAGACTTCGATAGTTCCTAAACGCAAGTATTAATAAAGCTCCTTTGGAGATTAACGATCTTGTAATTTTATCTGTGTACGTTACTTTCTGATTACTACGAAGATTCATATTTGTGCATCGTAAAGTATTTTTCTTGAATTTTCACGTTTATGCTACACATGTTGTAAGGACATCCATGGTCGTAATTAGCGTAAGATGAATTATTGATTTTTGTTAAGTATTAACTACGGTTTAGTATACGAGTACCTCATCAGTGTCACACGTTAGCATTGTTTACGCAATATTTTATGTGCCGCGCAATCACTACCCCACTTGTTTGTTTGTTTGTGCTGTTGTCTGTTACAGATTAGCAGAAAGCGCCCTTTTTGAGCTTAACAAGGCCGTTGTGACCTTTAGTTCAAAAATTAATTTTTATTTTTCGATGACTCCTTGATATAATGTTTGGTTACATACTGGTTTTCGATATAATCAAATTGTAATTGTTACATTTGCTTGATATAGCTTCGTTGTTGTCAGCTGAAGGCTGTTTTAATATTAAAATTTTCTCTGGCTGTCTTGTTTTCTGCTTGACGAAACTGGCAACTTCATACCCATATACAAAAGATATGCATTTCCAATGCTAAAATATGCCTTTAGCCGGGAGACTAGCGATTGGTATATCCCGCTCATACGGTATCAGATTGGAGAAGGCCAGGGGAAACCTCACGGTATCCCTTGAGGAGTGTCAGAGAGGGAGACGGTAAAATATAACCTGCGTAGGGCAGACAACCGATAATCATTATTTCTGTAAGAAGTTAGCCTTAATTGAATAGAAAATCAAATGCCTTGACCAATCATATCAATATCGGGAGGGTCGATCAGTTGATGGGCAGTGTCCTCAACTTGCATCTAAACATTTGAATTGTTGGTATTATTACAATTATAATTTTCGAATTGAAAGAAATAATTGTACCAAGAAAATGTTGCGAATTCTATTTTTCCTGAAGCACTGCAAAAGTTGTGGGTTTAAACGTGTGATTGTTTGTTGTTCGCCGTCATTAAATTTAGTTCTGAAGTGGAAAATTCCAGATTCATCAAGCCAAAAATTATTTATCTAAGGATATTTACGTGAATGTGACATTTTTGGGTTTTTTCGTGGAAAAGTTATTTTCATAGGATTTCTTATTTGGTTAACACGTTTCTTTTTATGTTACGCCATATGTTTTAATTTAATTCCATAGATTTCTTTTACCTATATCGCAACCCGAAACCCATTTATTAATTGGTTACATGTAAATTAATTGGATTTTAGTCTGATTGTAGTCTTTGGATGTGTCTTTCGTGTAACGAGCATTAACCAGTCCTATTGATGCAATGTGTGAAATATCGTAACAGCTTCCAAAGTACAGGTAATCTGTAATTGCTTGTATATTGTGTATATGTATTGTTCTTTGCCAAGATAAAAGTTATTATACCCGCCAGTGCCCGAGGAGTCATCAAGCTTGTATTCTTATTCTAATTGTAGTTTATATTTTCATTTACTTTTTGGCGTAACTTGTGCACGCTTGCCGTCCAAAATTCTATGAGCTTTGGCAAACCTCGTGGCCGTTTCCCCGTTTCCCCTGACTAGCCGTGCAAATTAGAGCTTTGCAATATTTTAAGAATTACATTTGATTTCGCACTTCTCATATTCACTAATTCATAAACGGGTTTTGATTAAAATTGTAAACGTAAGATGCGAGCCCATGAAAACACCTTGGCATAACTAAGAGGATTAAATCAGTCCGGGAAAGACATATTTTTGGTAAATTTTTACAATTCTTCAACGTTTTTAACATTTAGAAATGAATAAATGACAACAAGCAAATGTGACTTTTAATTTATTCGATTGCATCGCAACTATTTTACACCCTCAGGTAAGTCGGTAGCTATTGAGAAAAAAGAAACAAAGGTAAGTTTACTTTGCATGCTCAGTTTTTAAGCAGGTAATAAATTACAAGCGTACAAGATAATTAAATACACCATTCGTGATTTCAAAGTGGTTAAACAGTATTTGGTTGCGTGAGCTTTGCACGCTTAGTCTTAACACCTGCAGTGAAATCACGCATAACTGCTAATTAAGGTAGTGTCTTATTTTGAAAATAGTTAAAGACAGAAATCTTATAGTGGCATCAAGTTGTAAACAATCACAGTCGGAAAATAGCATATAATTTTCAGTAAACGCTTAAAGTAGCAAGTTAAAATTGAAACACGACGTCCATAGGATTCGTAGTATGATCTCGGGGTAATGATGATCGGCTGTGTTTATTACAATCCTCACGGAGGGATTCGTTTCCACGTTATTTACGATTTCGAAAAAATATTATAGTTGGAATATATATCACGTAGAAATCTGCTTTGTTCGTCGATGCGATGTAAAATACAAGTTTTGCAATGTTATCCTTTGGTCGGCACAATCCGCATTTGCAACTCGCCGCTTCGAAAAAGCGTAGAATCATTACCAGTCCATTCCGCCTTTTACGGAAAACATTTATCTAATCCAGCATGAAGACCGTATCCAAATGGTTTAGTTTTCCTTTTTTCTTACTTTTTGTTAGCAACCTGCGTTTACCAGAAAATATATTACTTAATCACACTAGTTGTGTTTATTAGCCGCTCGTTTATCTTCGCAGTGCGGATTTGTGGTGTTGAATCTCGATTAAAAGTACTTAAATCCTAGAAAGACTTCTTAGTATACATACGTGTATACCGAAAGATAAGCTCAATATACGAGGCCACTGAATGTGAAGGTATTGAAATTTCCGAGTATACAAGAAGTTTCTCGTTAAATCACACCTTAATTGAACTTTTACTATCGCAAATGGAAATGTAAATAAGATGCAATTAGCACATAATTCGCGAGTTGTCGCCATAAGTAACAACGGAGCATATACGTTCATGTGGGAATGCAATAAACTTTATGCAGGTTAGTACCTATTTCACACACAAATCAAATAAAATGCAGCACACATCAGTAGAGAAGAGTAGAGAACGTTTTAAAATCCGTTTACATTATACACCTCGATACTTTTCTATTTCGCTCATGGGAGTATAGAAAATCCATCAATCCATTCACTCCCATCAATATTTAATGTGCCTGTTTTTGCCCTTTTCTTGCATTGGACGGAAATGTATATGAAAACTCACCGTATATTGCTTTGAATTAATTTCAGTTTGATTCGAGACGTTAAAGGCGTTTTTAGGGATGAAGACCGTCATTGAAGTTCCATAACGAAAGGGTGCAACCCAAATGAACTCAAAAATGTAAAAATGTGTTTCGGCGAAACCTTCCCTATTTATATTTTCAGCAAGCTAAAATATTACAGTGAAATTTTTACCCTAATAACCTTCATTGTGTATGCATAAGCTTAATCTGCGAGATTGTGTGACCCACCCCTAAGC